TCCAAGTGTACTTGTCCAACACTCTGCTTACGGACAGAGAGGAACCCCGTCTTGCCTATGTATGAAGGACAGAGTCTCGTCTGGGGAGGTAGACAGCTACTCGACCCCCGTGTATGTGGGTTCTACGGGGAATTTTAGCCGTGCCTACGGACTCGGTCCACCCCACATTAAATTTGATCTTGTGCCACATCTGGCCGGGTGGTGAGGTTAGTGAATACCTTCACCTTGATTCACTTCTAGGTCAAAACTAGCAGTTGATTACTTAACATACGCCGCTGGTGAATCTTGTATGTTTTTTTCTATTATAAATATTACCTTTCTATTTCCAACATTCGTTTCGGTTATTCTTATACAGTGACCTTTTTTCTAGGTTAACACACACACACACACACACACACACACACACACACACACACACATATATATATATATATATATATATATATATATATATATATATACAAAAGACATTTTTTATGATTATACGTTCTTTTTATAGATACAAATATTTAAGTAAATTTCTGCTTATGATAAACTATATTAACAACATTTACCGTATTAACGTATAGACTTATACAATGTCTTAAAATAATTATCGGACTTTTGTCTATTTCATAATGTGTGACGTATATATATATATATATATATATATATATATATATATATATATATATATATATATATGATATATTTTAAATTTTCTGCAATTTACGCCTCAGTAGATATCTTTCAAATATTTTATTTACAGTAGTAATTAAAAATGTTCTCGTTACTTATTTGATGATAATTTTATTCTGTTCTTATTATTATAGACTGTTTTCTGTTATATATCATTTCCACACAAATTCTAATAACAGAAATTAATAATACATGCTACATTCGACGACGATTCCTTTATTCCAACTTCCAATGAAAAAATATGTGTGTTTATCTATATTTCTATACGTTTATATGGTGTTGTGTATTCCCCTCATTGCAAAGAAGACGATAAGATTAATCCTGGTTGATTTCGAACCACCAGCCCTCGAAGAAGAACCATTCGAAATTCACCCATTATATACTTTCGGTAATCTTCATCAAGGTGTGTTAATCCTTGAAATGGAATTCGCATTGAATGGTTAATAACACACAATCCTTGTAATTTTTTTAAAATGTGTAATTAATATAAATAATCATCATATTAACACAAATTCTGATAATAGTAAAAATAAATGGTCCATTTAACAACGAAAACATTATCCTTATGTAAAGTGTAAGATAGACATCTCTGTCTGTCTGTCTCTCTCTATCTCTCTGTCTCTGTCTCTCTCTCTGTATGTATATTTAAACTTTAATTATTTTTATTAATTTTAACTACATTACGTGATCTAATTTTAGCTAATATTATTTTTACTTCAACTCTTGGGATAATTTTAAAAGAAGTTATAAATTTAGTAATTATTCCGTATGTGACCATAGTGATTTAACTTTTTACAGTTTTTTGGTTATCTGACTGATCAGTGTTTGCGACTTTTCATTATGAAGATACCAGGTTGACAGTGTCAATGTGGTTGCTTCTGACGTGTATTAAGTAGCCCGAGCTGTTTGGTAGAGCTTAGAGAGTGTGCTCTGATCAACAATCACAATATTGTGGTAGTTGTAGTGCAATGACGCATATTGTTAGCTGTCTCTGGATGACGTTCAGGTGGGTAAACCCGAGGAAATATAATGCTTTATTCTATAAACATTGTCCAGTTTGTATTGCCATAGACGATAGTTAGTGTTAAGTATTTGGTCCTTTATTTCCTTATTTGAACGAATCTTCCGGCAGATACAATGATACGTGTAAAGTAGTAAACAAAAAATAACCTACTCACCTCAACCTTTCTGTCTCTAATATTCGTGTCATTTGTTCTAATTTATGTCGTGTTGAATCTTTTTCTGTTGAAACGGTCTCCAGATGTCTCCGCACTTTGTGAAATTAATTTAAATTCTTCTGTTGCTACAAATGAATTCTCTGATTCAGGCTTTTTTCTTATATGTTGAAAAGATTGTTGCATGCATATGCATGGCTTGGGTTTTTATATTCGTTATTGCATTCTATCAGATCTCTCTTTTTACTGTATAGGTCTCCTTGTCAGGAGTGTAATATATTAAATAAATGTTATGTTAATATAGAAATATATCTTTATCTACATCCATCTCCGAATATTTTTGTGTTTGGTAATTGTAATGCTCATCACGTCAAGTGGCTTAAGCATTTTAATGTTACTGATTCTGCTGGTATTCAGACTTTGTTTTTCCATTGCACAGTCCGTCAGTCAAATAATGAGCTTTCATTCCTTAATAAATATGTTAAACATTCTTCTTAAATTGATTTGTTCCTTACCTCATTCCCTAGCTTTTATGTCCTCCTGGCATTTCGGATCAATCTGTAATATCTACTGATATGTTTTTTGAGTTATCGATTAGAAAGGAACCTCCTATTCACAAGACATTTTCTGTTACCAGCGTACGGATTGGCAATACTTTCGTGACTTTATTTCAGATGTCCCTTGGATTGATATTCTTACAGTTCCTATTGAGAATTGCGCCACAGAGATTTCTTCTTGTTTTAAAGCTGGCATTGATATTTTTTTAACCTCTCAGAAATATCAGGTGAAAACACAATCGTTTGTATTGGTTCATACGAGCCAGTTCAGCCGCTATAGTCCATAAATTCAGTGTTTTGGGTGTACCATCGTGGTAATTCCGATCACAACCGAACTCTATTTGTAACTGCTCGAAATGATTGTAAACCTGTCCTCAAAGATCTATGTCTTTGCTGACAGAATAAGACAGTGTATAGCATCTAACAAGTATACTTCACGTGACTACTAAATAAAAGTAGATATTCTATCCCTCCTCTCTTAACTCAATATGTGTCGTTGACATCTGCTGATAAAGCAGAATGTTTTGCTTATAAATCCTTTTAAATTCTACTGTTGACTTATACTGGGGAACTTTGCCTGATATTCAAATTATAACTGAGTCAACATTGAGTGATATGCATATAATTCCGTTTATAGCTTCTGCTATCATTTTTAAAATGGATCCTCAAAATATATGTCGAAATGATGGTATCCCTGCAATTGTCCTTAAGAAATGTTCTCCTGAACTGTTTCCTCTTCTATCTACATTAGATTATTTGCTAATTCTTGCTTCCCTGATTTAAAAAAAAATCCGCTCGTGTAGTTCCAGTCTTTAAGAACTCAAGCGAAGCGTATTATCGTTCTACCTATTTTTTGCAAAGTACTAGATGCTCTAATTATTTCTGAACTGGCTAAACATCATTTTCCAGACATGACATACGGCTTTCTCTCTCTAGATCAACTGCTAATGTGTTAAAGATTATTACTGAAAGGTTCTATGAAACTCTAAATAGGAATTAAGATCGGAATGTTTCTCGAAGGCATTTGACTGGTTATGGCATACTGATCTTCTTCCCAAGTTGAAACGTTATTGTATTTATGGCAAATTTTTGAACTGATTCAGTCTTATCAAATCGCGAAATGAATGGCTACCCTTCTAGATATTTTTATGACTGCAAATGTTCCCTAGGACATACGTTGTTTCTAATTTTCATCAACGACCTTGCTGATGGCATCTTTCCTCAACTCGCTATCTACGCTGATGATACAACATTCCTGTCTTAATAGTACTTCTACTATGTTCGATAAGGTCAAATTGGTAGCTGTTCTCAAAGATGATCTATAATCTGTTGTTAAATGAGACAACGAGTGGTATGTTAATATTAATGCCTCAAAAGCAAAAACACTCTCTTAATCATTTGAAAGAACCATATTTTCTTTCCATCTGCCTAGCTGATGTTAATCTCCAGGCGAGCGGTTCGTTGCAGCTTCTAAGACTAACGTTTTCAGCCAAAATGAAGTGGAAAGTGTAATCAATTGCTAAGTTTGTAGCTAAGAAATTTGGTTCACTATATTGTATTAGACAATTTTTCCTGCCAGAATTTATCTTACATATTTATAAGTCTACTAGCCGTCCTTGCTTTGAATACTGCTGACACTCCTGTTGCCCCTGTTATATATTTAGAAATTGTGGATAAAATCCAAAGAAGAATCTGCAATATCATTGGTCCTGACGTGGCATCTCCATTTCAGTCACTTTCCCTCCGTCGTAACGTACTTTCCCTGTGCTTTTCTATAAATACTGTCATAATAATTGTTCAGATGAACTTTCTGCTATGGTACCTAGGCTCTGTGAATTTAAGCGCAGCACTAGTTGGCGGCAATGTCTCCTCATTTTATAGTTGAAATGGCTGGATGTAACCATAAGTTCTTTTCTAAAGGCTTATTCTTTTGAACTTCTCATTTGGGAACTCCGTTCCAGCTTTTTTTCCCCAGTCAACTTTGATCTCCGAAAATTTAAATGCAACGTCAATCGTTATCTTCTGTTTTTGTAATTCATGTTCTTTTCTTGTTCTTTCTCCATAATGATAGTTTTTCTCATATTCTCTAACACTCACTAACCGCTTTGCATCCTAGTGGCTTTATTGTCTTGCCTAGGATGAAATTATTAAAAATGTTATGGGGTCCTCCCCTTTTTTTATATAAGTGGACTCTACCAGTGTTACTTGGACTGCTGCCGTTAAATACCCAGAGTCAGAGAGTCAGTCAGAATACAGAGATTGGGAGATAGTAAGAAGACTGAGATTATGATTGAGTTGGAGGTAGAGTAATAGTGTGAGGTAACCGCTTGTAGAAGTCAGTTACAAGCACGTAGACTCTAAGGAAGTCCTACTGAGATATATATATATATATATATATATATATATATATATATATATATATGTTATTGCTACTAACCGGGTTCCTGGAATTACTAACAGTATTACCCTTTGTATTATTGGGTAAATACATTTATTTTCTTATATTTAATTCCTGCATTTGTCATTCATTGGAGACCGAATTTCATCTCGGAATCCACAACAAAAAACATATCCTGTAGTCTTATATCTGATGGAAAAGCCTCTGTTTTATTCACTGATAGAGAACTGTTGTCTGCCAATTGCTTTCTCGGCCGTTGGGGGTTCCCCAACACTCAGTCAACTGTCAGTATGTACTCGCCTGATCTAAATGTGAATCTACACAGGCATTGCAATTTAGCAAATCGTCTGACATAGAGATCTGCCCCTAAAATGGACAACATGTACACTGAAAACAATTTTCTTGACTATAAAAGGGTCATTGTACAAACAGCTTGAAATAATCTAGAATATTTTAATTGCTAAATTGCCCTGGCATTGTTATTCTTGGACAATAAATGTCATTCATATCACATGTTGCTTTTATAACATTTACAACAATAACGAGAGTCCATATATATATATATATATATATATATATATATATATAGTCATCCACAGACAGATTTTTTTCGCTGTTTCACAGCTCACCAGTGACTGATGTGTAACTGATTTGGTATCAGTTGGAGACTCTACCCCTAAGCCATTGGCGCACGGCAAGGTGAATTTAGACGTATTTATTTTTAGATAAACACGCTAGTTACTGGAGAACACGATTCGTCTAAACGAAGAGTCTTGCAGCAGTAATAGTCATTGTTTACAAATTCACTTTTCGCCTCGAGTACTCAACAGAAATAATTTTTCCGGGAGCATATATATAATGTATGTATGTATGTATATGTGTATGTCTGATGATCGTTTAAGGCGTGAAAATTCCTAGTATATTCAGTATTGATTTCACTTTGATTAAAGCCACAAAGTCTCGATCCGCAAAATTTAACACTATAAATATAGAATATTTTAAACAACACACACACACATATATACACACACACACACACATATATATATATATATATATATATATATATATATATATATATATATATATATATATATATATATATATAATGTGTGTGTGTGTGTTCTCTGAAAACATACACAGCAAGTAGAGAGAGTTACATGTAATTTCGGTTAGTGAAAATTTCATAACTAGTCTATTATTATATACTATATTTCGAACATGATAATCAATTCTAGGTATCCACGATAGCTAAGATATATTTCGTGCACGAATGGAATTATTTTTTTAGAAAACAAAAATGAAATAACTGCTGAATACTGTTCGTTCTTTTTGTGAAACCATATTATTATGAGGCTATGAGTTTAACATTCATATAAATAGATAGACCAACCGTCATATCGTGACTTTCTTCAATCTTTCTAAAAATAATTTCACGACAGTTTTTCTAATGAGCCTTCCTCCATCGTGGCTTAAACACGTCAATTTATTGCCCACTAGGTTTCACTGTTTTACTATTGAAATAGTAAAAATGTAACCGTAAGTTCTATTTCGATATCTACTTCTGTACTTTTCTGCAATTGAACTCTTTTTCTTTCTTGCTTTCCTGTCATCTACTATCTTCAAAAATTTAAATACAACGTCAGTCGCCATATTCTGTATTGCTTAAAACTGTTTATTTATTTTCCTTTCTCCTCTGTTACTTTGTCTCTGTTTATTTCCCTCTGTGACACTGCGTCTTAGTAGCATTATCACCTTGCGTAGTGTTAAATGTTTAAAAAGAGGAACATATACTTATCTATCTATCTCGGTTGAAAACAGTCTTTTGCAATGTCCATATCTATTTTATAAAATTCCTCATATCAAACTCTGTATAAATCCCTTACATATTTACTTAAGCAGGCGGCAGTATCATTCATATAAAATTAATATGTGCTTGCTTCCTTCTTACAACTAGTTTAGTTATTATATATTCCGTGTGCGGGCATCTACCTGTATGTATACTGATATAAATATGAATTAATACGAAATAAGTGATAATTCATAAAGCAATGTCCACTTTCTTTTTATCCTTTTAGAGAGCGCATTGGGTTTTTTGAAAAAAATAAATCAAACCAAAGGCGACAGCTGATATCAATGTGCTTCAGTAAATGGAATGTTGAAAACAGTTTTAATTATAAATTCGGGTACATACACTAAATAAAAGACAATGAAATATTTGAACGAGTCGAAAACCGATTGAGGGTCCATGTTTTTCTTCCGGGAGGAGAAATCCTTTCCAAATTCAAATTAATTTTATAAATATACATTTAGATTCCTTATTTTTTTTTTCTCACTCTTTTCGAACAGCTGAATTTAAACGACTCTCCAAATATATTTCCTCTACATATTTCTCCAAAATACAGCTATTCTTTTGCGCATAGAAAAAAAAAGAAGCAATTGAATTAATACATTTCTAGGACAGGAAAGATAAGGTTTTGAATGATATCGAAGGAAGTACAGTGTTATGATTCTATCTGGAATTTCTGGACGAAACAAAGCGATAAAAATCGCATGCACACGGACATATATACAGACAAACGCAAATATATATATGCGTGTATTTTTTTTTTTTCATTTTGTACATAAATTGATATATTTTGTAGATGGATATATTTAATATATAGGTTTAGAATAGATGAATATATTTATATAAAGGATTCCATCTTCCTGCGCGCACACACACACACACACACACACACACACACACTCACACTTCTTAAATAATATAATAGCTAAATATTTCATTTACATATTGCTGCTAAGGCACATTATTTTTTAAGTCTTAAGACGCAATAATGTTGGACAGTATTTTCTGAAGGAGAACACAGGCCAGTAAGCTCAATTCCCTCTCTACTCTATCCTTCTCTCTCTCTACTCTATCCTTCTCTCTCTCTCCTCTATCCTTCTCTCTCTCTACTCTATCCTTCTCTTTCTCTCTCTACTCTATCCACTCTATCCTTCTCTCTCTCTCTCTCTATCCATCCCATCCTCTCTCCACTCTCTCTCTATCCTCTCTCTCCATCTCTCTCTACACCCATCCTCTCTCTCTCTCTCTACCTCATCCTCTCTCTCTCTCTACCCCATGCTTCCTTCTCATCTCTCTCTCTCTCTCTCTACTCCATGCCTCTCTCTCCTCCCATGCTTCTCTCTCTCCTCCCATCCCATGCTTCCCCTCCCCATCCCCACCCATGCTCCCCTCTCCCATCCCACCCTCTCTCCCCATCCCCACCCATCTCTCCCATCCCACTCCATGCTTCTCTCCCATCCCCACCCTTCTCCTCCCACCCCACTCCATCCCCACCCCATGCCTCTCACCCATCCCACCCATGCTTCTCCCCTCTCTATCCCATCCCCTCTCCCCATCTCCCACTTCTCTCCCCCATCCCCACCCATGCTCTCTCTCCCCATCCCACCCATGCTTCTCTCTCTCCCTCACCCATCCCCATCCCCACCCTCTCTCTCCATCCCACCCATCTTCTCTCTCCCCATCCCCACCCATGCCTTCTCTCCCCACCCATGCTTCTCTCCACTCCCATGCCTCCATCACCCATCCTATCTCTACCCCACCCATCCCATCCCACCCATCTCCATCCCACCCATCTTCTCCATCCCACCCATGCCTCCATCCCCACCCATGCTTCTCTCTCTCCCTATCTCCCCATCCCCACCCATTCTCTCTCTCTATCTCCCACCTCTCTCTCTCATCCCTATACTTCTCTCTCTCCATCCCTACCCATGCCTCCATCCCTCTCTCTCATGCCTCCATCCCCACTCTCTCTCTCTCATCCATCTCTACTCTATGCTTCTCTCTCTCCCATCCCCACTCATACTTCTCTCTCTCTCCATCCCCACCCATGCTCTCTCTCATCTCTCTCTATCTCTACTCTATGCTTCTCTCTCTCTCTATCTCTACTCTATGCTTCTCTCTCTCTCTATCTCTACTCTATGCTTCTCTCTCTCTATCTCTACTCTATGCTTCTCTCTCTATCTCTCTATCTATCTCTCTATCTCTATCTCTCTCTCTCTCTCTATCTCTATCTATCTCTCTCTATCTCTCTCTATCTATCTCTCTCTCTATATATATATATATATATATATAGCCTTTCAGTGATATATAAAACCATTTTAAACGCTGACGAAAGAAAAACATTTACAATTACAGAGTATTTAGTCATCAATGATTCTATTAAATAGTACGTAAAGGAATTATTTTTGTCTTTTCGTAAGCTTCTTTTGTTGTTGATTAAGTTGTTTGATATCAACTAGAAACTTGAAATTGACTTAAAAACTAGGAACAGAGTTAAAAATTGAGAATAGCCGCAAGTGAGTTAGTAACCGTGAGTTACTAAAAATATACCTTTCTACAATAAATAAAACCATTTGTCTAAAGACTAATTGTCTTGTACCTTGAAAGTAGGTATATCCTTTGATAATAATACAAAATTGAACCCTGACCACACCACAACATTAAATTCCATAAGTTTTATCTGTAAACTCTACGGCTAATAAGCCACATATAAATACCTAACAAAAATCCACGGTGGCCATCCTAATTAGCGTCAAATTATAATTGACAATATAATAGTTTTCCGTTACTCAGATGCCAGTGGTCAACATGCGCATGGATAAGAAAACTAGGCATAAAACCATACGATGCGGATAGATAGGAATTTATTGTAAGGTATGATACTACGATTTAGAAAGAAGAATTTCAAATCTTCAGTTATTGCCATTTATTTTATTTTGTGCTGTGTTCCAATTATTAAAACGCTTTTAACTAAAGTTAGTAATTTTTAGCAAATATGTATATACAGTTTCGTTCGCATGTTGTATTTTTGAAATAGATTCTGAAATTAGCCTATTTCGGCAGAGGTGATTTTGGATTTTATTGTTTATTAATTATTTGCTCTGTAATAATAAATATATTGAGCCCTTTTTCTGAAACAGTTTTAATATTAATAGGAACCACTTGGATTATATACAAACAGAATTCTTACCTTTTTATATATATATATATATATATATATATATATAAAGAGAAAAACCGCAAACGTTTTGGGTTGTAATATGTATTTGTTTAAATATTATGCTTTATTTCCCATAATTTTGCTACTCGTGTTTCCGGTCTTGCGACCGTCATCATCATATGTCTCAACATACAAGAAAAACAATCCACAACTATACACAGAAATTACAAAAAATCAAGCAAGAATAATTAACTGAAAAATATACTGAAAACAATCAAAATAATTAAAACAAACGCCAATCTAAAAACCGAAAAAACATATTAACCTCATCCAAATTTAACCAACACACAATACAGGGAGTCACAAAATGCTACAAAACGATGTGGTGTTTGTGACATCATTATATAAGGAAACTTCTACACTTTTGAAAACCCGAAACCGACATTCATAATAAATAACAAACCTTAAACTGCAACTCCAAAAATGTGATACATAGATATCAGTCAACAACTGAAAAACAGGTTCTCCCTACAGAAAAGCAACATAAAATTACCAGACAACAGTAAACATTTGTATCACAACACATCTTGAAATGTAACCAGGGAAAATTTAAAATCATGACAATATATCACACAGACAATTATTCTTACTTACAAGTAGAAGAAAAAAACTTCATAAACAAATTTAAACCATTTTAATTTTGTTTGCTTATGGATATATATATATATATATATATATATATATATATATATATATATATATATATATATAATTCTCAAGAAAGACTTCTATATTTTCATATGTAGATATAGAAAACATTTTAGTTCATTTATCTCTTTATACGCATAATTACATGAACAGGTACACCCCCTATACTTACGCTAATTACGTAGAGAGAGAAATACACACACATTCTGTATATTTCTAATGTTTATCTACATGTGTATGAGTGTTTGTGCTTATCAATGATCTCTGAAGTTCAAAGAGAATTTTCAGAACGATATTCAAATCTTGTTTCTTTCTCTGTTGATTTTTTTCTGCACTTCATAGAAGCCATCCTATTGTATTCACGTGATCAAGCGAGTAGGTAAATGAATAATATAAGTGGAAAGATATTATTAAATTAAATGAAATAAAATAAAACCTCTATGAAGATACAATATCATGTCAGCTGAAAAACTCCCTCTTCAGGGCTAATGAATTCGAATCCTCTAACAACCTGTTTGAATGAAAAACGAAAATCCCAGTGCACTGGATTACACAGAAATCAATCGGCGACTCAATATGTAGGAACATGTATTAAATGTTTCTTAGCGGGAAAAATGCAAATAGCTACGCTTCGTCAAATAAATAAATTGGGAATAAGGATTAGATATACTTCATGGGTTTTCTTGGGTCCTCGATTTTAAAATGATAGTTTTTTTTTTGTACACTCTCGATATCAAGGCATTGCAGAAGATCTACACAAGGGTCACTCCAAAAGCAATGCCTACTATTATTTAGGTACGTGATCAGAAATGGAGATATATATATATATATATAGTAGCGTCCAAAACTAAGGGACAAAATTTAAAAACCTAATATTTGTTAGAAATAACAACTGTGAAAAGCTGAAATTTTGACAACTGGTCGTCGTTAACTTCCATAATAACATACTAAAATTTGAATCATTTGCAAAGGATAGAAAAAGAACTATAACAATTTATTTATTTTCAAATTTGGAACGTCCAAAAGTAAGGGAAAAAATTGAGAAAAACAATGTAAACGGCAAAAAAAACAATAAAAATACATGTACAATCAATATTTAGTAAATGAGCCCTTGCTCTCAATGACAGCTGCACATCTTCGACTACAAGAACGAATCAGTTCTTGACAATCCTCGATACTAATTTTAGACCATTCTTCTTGAAGCTTCACCCACAAATCCTCCGTGTTAGTGAGATTTCTTTCCATAACTTTCACTCCTAAGGTCTTCCAAAGATTTTCTATTGGATTTATGTCAGGACTTAGCGGCGGCCAATCCATAATTTCCAAATCTTGCTCGCTAAGGCAACTCATTAACACCTTTGCCTTGTGACATGGGGCATTATCTTGCATAAAGGTAGCCCTATCGAAACCTGAATTCTGTATGTTTGGCACATGATCTTGAACAATGTTTTTATAGATCTGCGCGTTTACACGAGTTTGTAACCGGACAAGAGGCGTTGTACCTTGGCTAGAAAACATTCCAAATACCATGACGCTTCCGCCCGAAAACTTGACAGTTTTCTTAGTACACTTTGCACTTAATCTTTCACCAATATGTCTCTTTACATTGTTTTTTCCATCATTTCCAAATAAATTAAACTTGCTTTCATCACTGAAAAATACTTTTGCCCAATTTTCATATGTCCAAATTACATACCTGTTTGCAAACTCTAATCTCTTCGTCTTATTCTTCGAACTAACAAGTGGTTTCTTCCCTGGGGTTCGATTAAACATCCCTATTTCTTGTAGTCGTCTACAAACAGTCTGTCTTGACACATTAATACATGAGGTACTATTCATAACCATTTTAATTTCTGTGCAAGACTTAAAACGATCCTTTAATGACATACGCTGCATTATTCGATCTTCTCTTGCCGAAGTTTTGCGGGGTCTGCCGGTTTTAAAAGCACTATTTTGCCAGTATCATTGTAGGATT